GTCTCTCGGCCTTCTGTATGTCCTCTTTCGAAAAGTGTCTATTTAGGTCCTTTGCCCCTTTTTTTATTGGATCATTTATCTTCCTTTTGTTAAGTTGTATGAGTTCCCTGTAAATGTTGGAGATTAAACCCTTATCTGAAATATCATTGGCAAATATGTTCTCCCATGCAGTGGGCTTTCTTGTTGTTTTGTTGATGGTTTCTTTTGCTGTGCAGGAGCTTTTTATTTTGATGTAGTCCCATTTGTTTATTTTCTCCTTAGTCTTCATTGCCCTAGGAGCTGTGTCCGTAAAGATATTGCTACGACATATGTCTGCTATTTTGTTGCCTATGGAGTCTTGTAGGATTTTTATGGTTTCCCATCTTACATTTAAGTCCTTTGCCATTTTGAGTTTATTTTTGTGTACGGTGTAAGTTGGTGGTCTACTTTCATTTTTTTGCATGTATCTGACCAATTTTCCCAACACCATTTATTGAAGAGAATATCTTGACTCCATTGTATGCTCTTGCCTCCTTTGTCAAATATTAATTGAGCATAATGGCTTGGGTCGATTTCTGGGTTCTCTGTTCCATTCCATTGGTCTATATGTCTGTTCTTGTGCCAGTACCAGGCAGTTTTGAGAACCATGGCTTGGTAATATAGCTTGATATCTGGTTTGGTTTTTTAAATTTTTCTTTGGCTGCCCAGCACTAACTTCCTCTCAATGGGAATGTCTCCCACAGAGGAAATTGGTGGTATCTATGCAATGTATCCTGCCTCCTAGTATGGAGGCCAGATTCAGAGGTCCTTCTTGCCTCTGGACATCCAGGTTAAGGCACATGACCCAGACCCAACCAACAGACTCTCCCACTGAAGACCCTGAAAGCTGAGGGAGTGAAACTAGGATAGTTAGAAACAAGAGCCTAGTCTCAACGCCTGGACTGTCCAGCTGTAATACTTTCCAGTGGTAAGAGGCGAGGGCCCCAGCAATAGATGACTCCTTGGCTTTGGTTTCCACTGACCTCAGTCCTTCTGCTTTTCCAGCCTGCTGCTCCAGTCTTCCTGACAATTCTCTGAGCTACCTAATCTTTCACATATATTATCCAGAACTGAATTTCATAGCTTGAAACTTAAGAACACTGACTGGTAACACATATAGAGAAAGGCCAAGTCAGTGTTTGATTCTAAGTCTGTCTAAATGCAAAGCCTGGGCTCTTTGCACAAAGGTAAGGCAAATAGGCAGTCAGTTAATTTTTCAATAATTATTCCTCAATCCATCAGACAGATAGCAGGTACCATCTCAGAAACCTAAATGTGAAAGATTTACTAGAACTGCTATGGCATTGAATTCAGCTAGGATCTAGCAAGAAGTTCTCTGCAATAAACTTGATTCTAAGAAGTCTGCAGGATCCCCAAAATGTCATCCCTGCTCAAAGCCTACCAACTTCCTGTTTCATGTATGTTATTTTAATCATCCAGTTTTTCTACAGATACTATGCTTTCTGACATTCTCTGTGACCTGGTCTCTCATTTCATGTCCTTGTCGTCATTGACTTGCTTTGATATGATCTTTTTAAGTTGGAATGATTTGGATTTAAATTTGATACAAGGATAATAGAAAGAAAGCAGACTTTGCTCCCCTGTGAAGAGAAAAATATCAAGAAAAGGAAACACCTAGTGAGAAATTACCAGCTGGGGTTTGTCATTCTTTTTGGAAAGAATAAGGATGCTGCCTAGCACTGGCCTGGAGCTAAAATTTATTTACACTAACTTTTAAGTGACTTATGAACATAAATTGCTATTCCTCTTCAGTTTTTGCATTTAAAAATTAAAGTATCATACTTGGGAATATTGAGATTGATTATATTCATACATGAGAAGGTTGGGTAGTGGGACCTACTAAAAATATCTATATCACACCTTTTAGGCAGTTATTTACCTCAATCTGCTTTCAAAAGTGGAAGTTGGCAAAACTCTTTAGAATTCTAGAGGTGAGGATGTCTTCTCCCTATTGGCCCCAGAGTTTCTTATTGTCATTTCTTCCACTCAAATGCTCCCCTCTCTGCCTGCTTTTGTACCGGGGTCATTACCATGAATTGGAACAATGGTTTGGGGAGAAAACAAGGAAACACAATGACCACGTGGAGAAATTTTCAAGGATTCAGTCCTTGTTCTTCAATTTGGCAGCTGCTATGAAGGTACAGTTAGCACTGCAGAGCTCAGGAAAGCATATCAATGCAAATTTTGAAAGATTATTGTAATATTTTTTCCTTTCAAAAAAAAAATATATTTTTTCCTTTCCTTAGACCAAAAGGTGACCATGAGGGTTTGTACATTCACTCATTCATTCATTCATTCATTCATTCATTTATAAAACAAGCTTGATTGTGACTTTTGTATCATTTAGTTTTCAAGAAGCTTACAAGTCAGTGAGTAGAATGAATTTACTAGATCTCTGGTTTCCTTTCTTTTTTCTTCTGAGAATCATGTGTTACGTGTCTCAGAGTATGTGGCAGCGATGATGTTCACATGTGCAACAAACTCTTGTTGAGCACCTGGGATTATTCACTGGACCCCATACATTAGCTGTAACTCCACTATTTTCTTTTTCACATGGAAAGTATATCAGGATGAGAGAGAGAGAGAGAGAGAGAGAGAGAGAGAGAGAGAGAGAGAGAGAGAGAGAGAGATCACTATGGGAATAACCTTGAATCTAATAAAAATGTGAAGGCCATTCATATAGTTTTGTTAGTGATGAAAAGTGGCACAGGCTGTTAACCTTGGTTCAGCAACTTCCGTTCTCTAGTTCTTGCTAAGAAACAATTCAGAGAAAGTTTATTTAGAAAGTCACAGAGGTAGAAGAAGTGAGCTGTAGAAGAAATGGACTTAGGAAACAAGTTACAGGAAAAGAAGGGCCCTTCGGATCTTAAGGAAGAGAGAGAGAGCTCTGGGAAAAGAAAGGGGTGGGAAGGTCAGGGTGTGTTCCATAGAGAGAGCCTCACTCTGGGTCCTCCATCCTAATGGCTTTTATCTGGAGGACTGAGAAGAGAATCCCAATGGAACATTCATCAGCTTTCCTGGTGTGCCCCCTCATGGTATCCACTGATTGGTCAGCACCAGGAAGCCATTATTCAATACAGCTGGTCCTAATATGAGCCATGGTATCACTCCATCTGATTTTGCTGCTTCTCTGGGCCCGGAGCTGAAACACAACTGAAGCCTAGACGTCTTCTTCCAGGGGTTAATGCTCAAGGGTGTGGTAGTGCAAGGGCTTATTGTTTTGGCCCATTGCTAGGCAACTGGGCTCTCCACCCCGGTGACCCTCTGCACCTGGCCCATTTTTCCTGCTCTGCCCCTGCCTATCTAACTCCCTAGCTCCCTACTATACTTTCATGGCTTGATAAGTATTAGTAATAAATTATTGGCAATGAACTTCACAAATGACTTTCAAATACCAGGTATATCACCACAGAAAATGCATGGGTAAGGGCAGAATTGAATACTTTCTGTGACTGGAATGTTCTTGGCACTTTTTATAAATTTTTTTTTCATTTCATCCCGGGCCCCGCAATTTGTTATTTACTCAACAAATCCAGTGGCTTTCCAACTTTTAGCATCCATCAGAATTACCTGGAAGGCTTGTTAAAACATAGGCTGCTGGGACCAGTTCCCAGAGTTTCTGATTCAGTAAGTCTGGGCGGGGGCTGAGAATTTTCATTTTCAACAAGTTCCCAGAAGACAGTGAGGATGCTGGTCCAGGAATCACACTTTGAGAATCATTGACGAAGTCATCCATTCAAAAACGTTTATTAAAAACCTACCTGGTGCCTGGTGCCAAAGTGAAAAAGAGAAACTAGACATTATTTTATACGAGCTAATGTCCACTGAGCACTCTGCTATGAGCTTTGTTATGACAGGATTTACTCCTTTATGATAATTCTACAAAGTAGATATTGTTTCCCCTATTTGACAGAGGAGAATACCACAACTGTAACCTGCTCGAAGTCATATGGACAGGTTTCTGAACTCGGGTTTGAACACCTGTCTATTGCATGCCAAGTGGTGCCAGCAGACACCACGTAATATGCTATGCTACCCCTGTAACACTGAAGAGCTTACATACAGTATTATAGTCAGTGTTTTGCAGGTTGTTGTTTTTTTATAAAATGATGTTCAGAGAGGTTAAATTACTTGTCCAAAGTTATTCAGCTAGGAAGTATCTTAAAATGTAATGTCAGTTTGTCTGATGCCAAAGTGCTTTTCCCACCATAAACACCATTTCTCCTTGATTTATCTCTAGGTCAAGATCAATCTTAGTCAGAGCCAGAAAAGAAAATGAGCCTCAGTTAACTAGAGCGAGCAGAGAATGGATAGTTCAGTCTAATGTCTTGGTTAACTAAGTCATCTCTCTTGTGTTCACTTTCTTTCTAATAGTTATCAGTTCACTTTCCACCCGAAGTCAGCACCGTTTAAAGTAACGTTTCCCTCATGATTCAGGACCATCATACCCCACAACCATCCTGAAGAACAGCATTTGTTACTGACACATATCAAAGTGGGTGCAGAGGACACAGACGATTGGATTGAATGTGTAGGGAGCCCAGAATTCCTGCGGACAAATTAAACTATAATCTAATCACTTACCTTCCCTGGAACCAGAATGGGAAAAGGCCCCCAAGCTGACACTAATCAAATGACTCAGTTTAGTTGGGTTCTAGTTAATCAAGTTTATCCCAATTTGTGTAAGGAGCTGATAGAATTCAGTAAAAGTGACCGCTTATCTCCTTTTGTGGCTTGGCAAATTGCAAAGAATGAAGCTTTCCCTAACTCCTGTGTACTGCTGTGTTACCCAGTCATCAGGGAGAGAAATGAGCTGTATAATTACCTTTTGAGACATGAATCATCCTTGCTCTGAGGGTCCAGACCTGTTTGACTCTATAAAAGCAGCTCAAGGTCGAAGTGCAAATGTGCACTGTCTGCCGTCCCCGAGGCTGATATAATTACCAAGCTACCTTGAGGAGATGAAGTTGCTGCCTGCATCTGGCCTCGCTCTCCTCCTCATCACGGCTTTGAACTTTTCCTCTGCAGCCCCCTCCCTATTTGCAGCCACCCCCAGGACCTCAAGGAACAACTACCACCTCGCACAGGTTTGTGAATCTTTGCAGAATTCCCTCTTCCTTTTCCCACCCCAGGAAACTAAGAGTATAACGAGAAAATAAGGGGAAAATCTGTTATTGTTTTAAAATCTATAATAATAAAAACATACTATGCTAATTAGACCGGACGGCCGAACAGCAGAACGACTGTCCGGACAACCTTCCTGACGAAGCCGGGGCTACGAGGGCCAAGCCCCTTGCACGAATTTTGTGCATCAGGCCTCTAGTCTTCTTATAAGTCCATTGAAAGCCACTAGATTCCATCTGCTGTGAAACTAAGACTGACTGGTGCATGTTAGGTGTACGTTTGTGTGACTAAATAAATAATTGAATAATTATCTACCTAGTTATCTTGCTTCTTACAGAATTTGAGGTGGTTTGCAAAAATATATGCCATACAAAAAGACCAAAGAAGTATTTGAGAAATAATGTATGAGGAAAATAAAGGCAGCAATTGAGGTGTACAGTTGGCATATAGTAACTAGGCTTCCTGGCAGTCCGCCTGTGCTCAGGGAAAACTTGATCAACATCTAAAGTGAACTAAGTTTTTCCTGGGTACCTATCTGCTTCTCATTTGACAGTCTTTCCTCTTTAAAGCATTTCCCCATTTGCTTTCATTTTCTGTATCTCCCCTTTTAAAATCTCTCCCAAATGACTATTGGGAGGGATCTGATACAAATAATTCCTATTGGAATTTTTGCTAAGACTACGTGTGACTCAAAGTGATTCAATGTATTCAATGTACAGGGGTGGACAAAAGTAGGCTTACAGTGGTTTGTGTAGAAAAAGACATCCAATACAATAGTTTTATTAACTCAAAAGAATGTCACAAGGCAACTGTAGACCTACTTTCGCCCACCCCTGTATATATTCTTCTAAGTGTTTTTGTTGTTCTTTTGCATTTAATAGGAAGGTGGCAATCTTTAACCTAAAAAAAAACAAGTCTCATATGACGGAACTTCCAACAGTAATGAAAGGTGTGTGGATGAGATGTTTTTGCACCAGGGCCTCTCTTTTAAGAGTCTAAGTGACAGCACATCTGTGATTACCAAGCCTGCCCCCGGGGTGCTTTCCTGCCTGCCAGGCTACCCCTGTGTGCTGCCTGCGGAGCTGCCCTGCAGCGCTGATGTTCACCTACAAGTACCTCATCTTGTTCCTACTGACTGTTCACACCACTCATCCATCCTGACTGGTCAGGCCCCCTGCCAACCAGCCATTAAACATTTTGCATATCAATCAGCCCCGCCCACAAATAATACAGTGAATGCCAAGTACAGGCCTGTTGAGTTAAACTTCCTTTGACTCGAGTCCACTTTTAGAGGAATTCAATCCAAAATAACATAGCTCAAATACTGGCGTCTATTTTAAATTGCATTTCATCGGTGCCACCTAGCTTGCTTGGGTCCCTTCTCTCCAAATGTGGTTTTGCCTCGCCCACCTCATGCCGCTCTGATTCGGACACAGCGGAGACTTCGTGACCCCAGAAGGAGGAGCACACTGCTGCCTGACTGAGCTGAGGTGGATGGAGACCGCGATGCTAGTACAGGTTCTGACAAACTATGGTCGTCGGAGATGCCGGCCGCACCTATTCACTTACCTGTCATCTATTGCTCTTTCGTTCCACAATGGAGTGTGGCAAAACCAAAAATATTAACTTTCAGTCCTTTACAGAAAAAAAAAATTAGTTGACCTAAAAATTAACAGTTTGTACCGGAAGAAGACTAGAACATTTGGGAAAAGCCATCCTTGCAGGAGCATTTGGAAAAATCAGGTGGCCTGGCAATATTGGGGATTTTTAGTGATCCCTTACTTCTTTTTCTCCAAAATAAGCCAGCCTCGGTCTGTTTTCCTAATGATGTGCCCTCAGAATGACTTTTGACCAAGGACCAAGAAAACCTGTCAACACCTTGCCACCTGGCAAACAACACCTCCTGCCTGCCAAATCCCCAGTCATCAGCTCCGAACAAAAACAGGTATCACTCTTTCATTCTTAGAATAATCTGGGCAAACCTCTAATGTGGGTCCCAGTGACTAAAACAAAAATTAGTGCCCCACCTTCTGGTTTACAGAATCATATAACTTTGACAGCCTTAAAATACAACAAATAAGACAGCACGAAAGTAGACAGTTTAAGTTCATTCATTCAACAATGATTTATTGATTGCTGACTGTGTGCTAGGTGCCAGGGTCAGTTTTAAGTTTTGGATAAACATCAATGAACAAAACAAGTAATGTCCCTGGGCTGACAGTGCTTACTTGGGGATACTAGAGGGCATGGCAAGGTGCTGGGGGGAGATAAACACGTAGTCAATTGACAAACGTCCAAGATTATTTCAGAAAGTGATGTGATGTTGGAAAAAAATTAACCAGGTTGACAGAGAGTGACTGGGACAGTGGGGCACATTTTCACCTGGGTAATCCAGGAAGGCTTCTCCGAGGAAGTGGCACTCGCGATGACCCCGGGCTACATGAAAGAGCCAGTCCCATGAAGATCCGGAGGCAGAGCAGTCCAGGCAGAGGAAATAGACAGTGCAGCATCTTGGGGGGTGAAGGAGCATCAGGCTAGTTTGGCAAGAGCTGAGAGACCACAGGAAGAAGTCATTGGCTGAGTCCAAGAGACAGGCAAGGCCAGTGGATCACCTGGGGCCTGGGAGCCGGCGTCAGGATAAACAGCTCCCACACTGCTCTCTTCCTTCCATTTGATCACTCACTGGGAGAGAACAAGGGGTTTCTTGTGCCTGGAAACACAGACAGGCAATATTTCCAAATACCATCTGCTGCTTCTCAAACCCACAAACATAGAAATCTACAGCTGAAAAGATGAACAGGATTTTAGTTGATGTATTTAATGTCCACTTATACCCATTCAATTCTGATTTACTGATGAACAGAAAGGCTTCAAAAATGAAGGATGATGAAATGCTTACTTTGTCTTAATCCAGGGTTTTATTCTTTTTGTTTGTTTTTTAAAAATTAGTGATATCAATACAACATTTAAAGCAGGTTCTTAAATTGTCCTTAAAAATAGTATAAATTTTTATTATCACATTATTATGGAATCATTAAAAAAATAAAAACTTCCCAAATATAAATTGTTAAATTTGGGTGTCTTTACTACCATTTTACTCTCTGTGCACAGAGATATTTTTAAATGTTATTATATTTGGTTCCTATCTTTCTCAGTAATTATTATGTCACAAGAAAATATTTATTTTTATACTATTGTCATGAACATTATTTTGAAGAGTTACACTTATTCCGGAATACAGGGGTGAACAAAAGTAGGTTTACAGCTGTGAGTACACAAAACACAGAGTTAATAATAATCATTGTAATAATCATAATGCATGTCTTTTTCCATATGAACAACTGTGAACCTACTTTTGCTCACTCCTGTATAAGTGAGTTTTAATTTAATAATTTCTTTTGTTGGACACATAAATTATTTCCATATAAATAATGTTTCTATGAACATCTTTGTACATCACCTAATCTGAAGGATTACTTTTTCAGGATAGATTTCCAGAAGTGGAATTAATGAGTAAAATACTAATGACTAAAATATTAGAGGCCTGGTGCATGAAATTCATGCAAGGGGCTTGGCCCTCATGGCCCTGCGGCCCTGCCCTCCACCCGCTGGTTGTTCAGGAAAGTCGTTCTGCCATTTGGTCTAATTAACATATTAGCTCTTTACTATATAGGATATACTAGTATACATATTAAAATATTTTTATACATTTAAAAGCATTTTCAGCCCTGGCCGGAATGACTCAGTGATTAAAGCATTGGAGGACCTCTGGTTCGATTCCCAGTCAAGGACACTTACCTGGGTTGTGGGTTCAATCCCGGACCCAGGTCAGGGCGCATGCAAGAGGCAACCAATTGATGTGTCTCTCTCACATTGATGTTTCTCTTTCTCTTTCTCTCTCCTCCCTTCCATTTTCTCTAGAAATCAATGGAAAAAGTATCCTCCCATTTCAGGTGAGGATTGAAAAAATATATATTTTAAAAAGCACTTTTCACAATGAGGGTCTCATTGGATCCTCACACTGCTGTGGTCAGTAGGACAGATACCAACCCTATTTTATAGATGAGAAAGCTGAAATCAAAAGAATGTAAAGGAATTTCTGAAAACCTAGGGAATATTCTATTGGGATTTATCACACAGCATCAAAAGTTCTCAACTCCCTTTCTCTGACTTAGCCAAAGTAGAAAGAAATGTTGAAGAAACCGTATCTTGAATTTCACCTTGTGTTGAAGCATAATTAACTCTGAGTTTTAAACTCTTAATTCTCAAGAAGGACACTAGGAAAATGCAGTGAAATAGAATTAGGGGGAGACCTGGGACGCTGGTTTGCTGGGACAGACTCTCTGGGACTCCATTGTTTTTATTTCTCAAACATTGAAAGAGAAGTGGAGAGGGAACCACCTGGACCCTTAACCCTGTGATTTAACAGTGGGGAGTGGGAAGGGAGGAGGGTGAATGGGACACGTCTGATATGTGCTGAGATCTTTGACCCAGGGTCACAATCAGATGTTGAGCCAACAGTGCATGAGTGTTAGATTTAACACACACACAATTCTAAGTGCACATCTATTTGCCTAATTGAATATTTTGACCCTGAAAATTATGCTAAAACCTTATCAATAATTTTGGCAAGAAATTTCTGGAATTATTTAGGCTCTCAGAACATTGGATAATTCTTCAAAGAAGAACAGTACCTAGCCATACAGGCCTACCTTGAGAAACAAGGAAAATCCCAAATAAACAATCTAACTCTACACTTAAAGGAATTAGAAAAAGAAGAACAAACAAAACTTAAAGTCAACAGAAGGATGGAACTAATTAAAGTCTGAGCAGGAATAGAAATTTAAAAAAAGAAACCATAGAAAAGATAAATGAAATCAAAAGCTGGTTCTTTGAAAAGATAAACAAAATTGGCAAACCCTCAGCCAAACTTACCAATACAAAAAAAGAGAGCCCAAATAAATAAAATCATAAATGAAAGAGAAATAACAACAGACACCGCAGAAATACAAGGAATCATTAAAGAACACTACAAACAATTATTTGCCAACAAATTTGACAATCTAAAAAAAATGGATAAATTTCTAGAAACATACAACCTTCCAAGACTGAACCAGGAAAACATAAAATATCTAAACAGATTGATACTAGAAGTGAAATTGAAGCAGTAATCAAACTCCCAGCAAATGAAAGTCCAGGACCAGATGGCTTCAAAAGGTGAATTCTACCAAACATTTAAAGAAGAATTAATACCTATCCTTCTCAAACTATTTCAAAACATCGAAGAGGAAAGAATGCTTCCAACTCATTCTACAAAGCCAGCATTACCCTGGAGGTACGTTACCCGAGGACTAGTGTTACTGCACATGAATATATAATACTATATCTAACAAACCCCCTATTGTTAAACATTAAGATTGCTGCCAATGGTTTATTATTTACATATGTAAATATGTATATATAACATGCAAATTAAAACATACATAATTTATGTAGAATATAAGTAAGTGTATAGTTCATGGAATATCTAAATAAATGCTATTTATAGGCAATAAAATACCTTATATATAATGTATAAATATAAAATTTTATATATAATAAAAATGTATATATAAATCTTTAACTGTTCCTTGTTTATTTTCCTGAAATAAGTTGGATCAACAGCAGGTTCTGATTCTGCATTTGTGTGACTCTGCCTCACTCACTTCACCTAAGCAGTCATAGAAAAGTATTTTGAATGATATATAAGAGGGTTAAGCTTTATGTGCAAATGAAATCTTTATAATGTACTAGAGGCCCGGTGCACAAAATTCCTGCACTTGGGGGGGCGTCCCTCAGGCCGGCCTGTGCCCTCTCGCAGTCCAGGACCCCTCGGGGAATGTCAGCCTGCTGACTTGGGCCTGATCTCCTCCTAAGCCACAGTCAGACATCCCTCTGCCAGTCCTGGGCTCTCACAGTGTGGGACCCCTCGCTCCTTACTGCCCGCCTGCAGCAGAGGCAGGATAGGCTCCCACCACTGCCACTGGGCTCAGTGGCACTCCCTCTGTGGGAGCGCACTGACCACCAGGGGGAAACTCCTGCATTGAGCGTCTGCCCCCTGGTGGTCAGTGTGTGTCATAGCAACCAGTCGTTCTGCTGCTGGTAGTTCTATAGTTAGGTTGATTTGCATATTAGGGTTTTATTATATAGGCTGATTACTTTTACTTGTCTCAAGGGACAAAGAGCCTGTCCCAGGAAAGCTGCCCCACAGAAACAAGTTCAACCCCACACACTGAACACACCTGAACTGATTAAAAGCCTCAGCAGGAAAATGGATTGAACCTCTGCCTTTGCATAAGGTGAGAGGCTGGAGCACAAAGCCTCTGAGAGTTAAAAACATTGGTGTCTAAGGAAAATATGATACCAATAACTGCTCACCAGAGGACTAGGAGAGTCTGTTTCATAAATTGGGTACAGATGTCAAGGACAAATAAATGATTCATTGGGGGGGGGGGGGAGGGAATGTTCTTTTTCCTTCCATTATTTTTCTCTCTTACAATACCTATTCATTGTAGGGAAACTATAAAATGCAGGTGAGCAAAAAATAATAATAAATAAATGAACTAACTAACTAAAATTCCCTTTACCAAAATATAATTGTTGTTAGTAATTTGGCACACTGTATTTCTTTCTAAGCTTTACCTATGCAAATATATATAAATTTTTTCAAAAATGGAAATATACTCTGCGCACTATTTTTCATATATCCAGAAAATATTTCCTGAGCATGAGTACTCCCCAAGACTGTGCTGTAGGTATGTCAGCCCGCCTCTCCCTTTCAGGCATATCTTGACAAGTTCTACACAAAGAAAGGAGGGCACCAGGCTGGTGAGATGGTTGTACGAGGAAGCAATTCCATAGTAAAGAAGATTAAGGAGCTGCAAGCATTCTTTGGCCTTCAAGTCACGGGGAAGTTAGACCGGTCCACAATGGACGTGATCAAGAGGCCTCGCTGCGGAGTCCCTGACGTGGCCAACTACCGCCTCTTCCCAGGTGAACCCAAGTGGAAAAAAAATACCTTGACATACAGGTAATGAGATCTGAGTCTTTCCAAATTCATACAGAAACACCTCTCTCTCTTTCCTTCTTTTCTTTTAAAAAAATCTTCCTTCTGTTCTGTATAAATATCATGGCTCATCACAAGCACAAGAAAGATTGTTTAGGCTCAATCTTTAGACAATGACAATGGAAAATTCACTAGAAAATATGATTTCAGGATTGCTGTAATTGCTGGCCATCTTAGGTATTACAATTTTACCAGTTAGAGACAACACATTTATCTTTAAAGAAAAAGAATCTAGCCTAGAGTTAATAAGCTGACAGTATCCACCAGTGTTCTTAAAACAACCTGTTCAATCAAAAGGATATGATAAAACTCCCCTATCGGTAAATTCATTGTTTTCATGGATTGAAAAAGTCATTTATTGACGACTTATTAAGTACCTATCATAGGCATTCAATTTTGAAAATAAATTTGTCCTTTGTGGGCCCTTAGCCCCAGGTTCCCCTTCCCCCGACTCCACCCCCCTCTCCCCCCTCCCCACCTCCACATTCACTCCCACCCTCTGGCCTCCTTCTGCCCGGAGCAAGGATTCTGTGTAGTTCGAGGGGACATGCCCAACCAGAACCTACATCTTCCCTGTGCCCTAGGTCATCACATGGGAATTCCATCCCAGCAGCCTGGGGTCAGCGCTGGCTTCCCTCCCAGGCCCGCTGGAGGGATCACGCGTGGTGCCCATCCCCCCGCCTGAGGGTGGGGTGGGAAGCAGGCAGTCTGCCAGTGGACTTATGGGCCTCTTACATGCCAGACAGAGGCGGCATGGAAAAAGGGCAGCTCCTGTTTCTATCTTTGCCAAAGACCTCGCAAATGTAGAGGTTTTCCAGGTAGAAAAGCAGGCCAAGCAAATAGCCGCAGGGAGTGGAATGGCCTGGTGTTGGAGCGGCAGGGCAGTGGGCAGGGCGTGCGGAGGAGTAGAGGGCGCAGGAAGAGCAATGAGGGTAAGTGAGGATGGAGGGGGCGGAGGGCGCTAGAACAGGAGGCTACGCAGTTTGGACTTCAATCCAGGGCACCCGAGAGCCAGACCAGGGTCAGGATCAGACTTCGTTGTCTGGAGGAGCACGTCTGGTCGATATCTGGGCCTGGAGAAAGGCTGGGCTGTTAAAACAGTGGCAGCGATGGTGCGCTGGAGCTGGCTACTAACAGCTCACAGCAGCCAATCCTGACATTTTCTGCAGTGTTGCAGCCAGTTGTTAAGTTTCCAAGAATTTTGTGAGCTGGTTGCTAAACAGAGCCATTATTAAAAACTAAGCTATATGATCTTACAATTAAATAAATTATATTATAAACAGAGGTAATCAAACCATTGTTTTTTAATTATTATACTGTACTACATTTACCTATGTTCACGAAGTCATTGACATCTATTCTATTTGTATGGGGAAATGATTGCCACTGCTCAATTCTTCCCAACTTTGTGTTCCATGGTGACAAGTTGGTAACTAGAAGTTAGTCATAATGAGAGTGTTTAGAATATGAAAATCTGCAAACCCTACAAACCAAAGTTTCTCTTCAGAGAGCCAGTTGTTAAACTGTGATCAAAATGAGGGTGCAAACCAAGGCCACTAATTAGCTGCTATGAGCTTCTGAGTCCATAAGGTGGCGTTCTGAACACAATTATTAGTCATTGGCTTCAGCTTAAGAATCACAAAAATCAAAGCATCTGTTCCCCTTATGGGAAACAATTGATAAGCGGATGAACATAGTGATTATGAGGTGATTAGGATAAGACAGGAAAAATTTATATAAACCCATGGAATTTTTCCCCCTCATTTTCTTAAACTTATCGTAGACTTTTAGTCTGTGAATATGCGTAGCAAAAACAAGGGACATAGATCAGGATAATGTGGGACTTGGAGAGGTGTAATATTCTTGTGATAAGTTGGGCAGCTCCAAAACAGCCTCAAAACTCCCACTGCCCATCCACGCCTGCTCCTGAATAACTCCCTACCCCATCACGGAAGGCCTAGTACTCTGTCTACATAGCTACTGGATTCCAGAGGATTTTAAAAGACAAAATATATCACAGTGCTTGTGTGCATAAGCTTTGAAGTCAGAACTGGGATCAAATCCTGATGAATCATAAAATGTAGATTATTATAATTAACCCTGAAGGTGTTGTGAAAATTTTATGGCGCGTGTTTAAAAAAGTGCTTAGAACAGTGTAATAGTATGTGTTCAAAGAATATTAGCTATTATCACTATTGCTTATCAATCTCCAGACCTGGGGCCAGGACTTTTCTTGTTCTCTCCTGGTGTCTCTGCCTTCTCCAGCCCAGCACACAGTTGGCTCAAAGATGTGGCCGACTTGTCCATACTGTAAGGGAAGTTCAAGTGCTAACTACAAAGAATTGTGATTAAACCACTGATTTTTGTTATATAGGGGTCTTGGCATATTTTGAAAGCACGAAATGGTCCCTTTAAGGATTACCTCTCATGGTTTCTGGTTGAGATTTTACCACTTGCATCAGAATAACCTATACGACACTTGCAAAAATGCAGATTTCTGGATTACACCTATATATTTAAAAATCTCCATAGGTAGTTATCATGGGTACTAAAATTTGAGAACCACCAAGTAGGCCCTAAAAACCATTAACTTTTATTCATCAGTTCATCCATTTATCAAGTATATTTGCTAAATACCTACTGTGTGCAAGACTGGACTAGGAGCTGGAGAAAGAGAGACAGTAGGCTCAGTCCTGCTCTCAGGGTTGTCCCTCACTCTGCATCTGAATTCCATCCCAGCAAGTCTCCAGGTGAAGTTCCTCTCTCCAGCCCTTCCTTCGAATGCTGCCAGAAACCAACCCCCCCACCCCCACCCCGCTCCAGGGCAGCATGTGTTAGAAAACCAACTGTCTCTCTCTACAACTGTTTGTTCCACCACCCCCCCAAACCCCCGCCCCTCCCCGTCCCCACCATCACCAAAAAAAAAAAAATCTCCTTAATTTTCTGCCTGCAGATGTCACTGTCCTACCAGGACTTGATGAAAGACTCAAGCCTTTTCCAGTTCAAGAGAGCACTTCCTCTTTTAAAATGCATCATTTAAATATTCCCCACAAGGCCCTGGGGAAATCCTGATGGCCTTTGAATGAAAGTTTGCAAAACTTTCCAACTCCACATTTTTATTTTTTACAACTGAAAATTCTCAGTCGTCCCTTATGGGGGAACAGAGAGCTCTTCTCAATTAAAACCACATTAGGGAAAATGGACTTCTTGGTACTTGTCATGTTTCACAAAGTATGATTCTTCAAAATTAGAGAAAATATAGTAATAATGAAAGGCAAACTCTTTCAGCACCAGAAACTCTCAACTCTTTCATTTCTTCACTTTATTTTTCTTATTGTTTAACATGTTTCAGTATTTTAACGAATATGAAAGCAAAATAAGAATTATTGTTTGGAGGACAAAATCTACACTGTAAATTTATGTTCACTATTTAAGGTTTTAATACAGACAATATAATTTCTTGACTTCTTCACTTAGGGACATTTACTGAAAGAAAAACATGTTCCTTCTATTTCACAGAATATCCAAATACACCTCGTCCATGACCTCTGCTGATGTAGACAAGGCGGTAGAAATGGCTTTGCAGGCCTGGAGTAGCGCTGTTCCTCTGAACTTTGTGAAAATAAATTCAGGAGAAGCAGATATCATGATATCTTTTGAAACAGGAGGTACTGTGGTGCTTCTTGGGTTTTGTCTGCTAATTCAAAGGAGAAATGTTCCAATACTTTTCCTTCTACAATACTTAATCCAAGTGATCAGCACAATCCTTCTTGGTGCAGTAGTGTGATGGGCAGAGGCGAAGATCATGGCAAAGTCATGACCTTCATCTGGCCAGAAAATAGAACCAGAGGAGTTCTCAACATTTCTTGTCTTTATTAGACTGAGCTGTAGAATGGACTCCGTGTAACATGTGTTCATTATGGTTTTGCCCCATTAGGGACAGAGAATGTCAGATTTAGCTTTCCCATTGGTTGGGTGGCCACATGACCTCATACCATTCCCGTGATGTATTCATTGCTTTATATCCCCTTCCCTATTAGCCAAGAATCTCCCACTTTGAATTCTCACTGAAGAAAGTAAATTTTACAGTGGCCCTGACAGTAAAATTTATTTCCTTCAGTGGGTAAGAGAGTGGGGTTGCCGTCTGGCCCCCACTTGCAGACAACTTGTGGAATCACTAGGCCTGCCTCCTACTTGCCTGCTTCTCCATCCCTTCTCACCCTGGCAAGCAATAGAGGCATAACTTTGCGCAGAGATTGGTGGAGCTCTCTAAACCTTTTTCAAGAGAAACCTTATCTAGTTAGTAGACAAAGGAAAGGCCATGAAATGACTTTCTCTCTTTAGCGTCCTATAAACAAGGTAAGTGATCGCCGCCACTGCCTCTTACCCTCCAAGGATAACATTTCTAAGTGTCCCTTTTATTCCAACTCTTGATCTTAATTTTAATCTGATGTCACTGGGAACCCTGCTTAGAAGCTAGGAGAGAGAAGATCAAGCAAGTTTTGCCTGAGCACAAGCCCTTTAGAGATGGCCCATGGTGGGTTCCGCTCCCAGAGGACCAAGGCCACCCCAGTCAAGTGGCAGGACAATGTGGCCAGGGCAGCTTGGGGTGATGGAGTTAACGTCGTTCATGCTTGCACCCTGTCCCCTAAAACACAAGCCTATTAGGGACTGTGCTGCCATTTCATTAGGTGCCTCAGGTCACACAACCTGCAGTGCACCTAAACCTGGGAAATGACACACCAGAATTTGGTGGTGTTGTTTTTGTTTGTTTGTTGTTTTGAGGTTTTACTTTTTTATAACTTAATTTTTATTGTTGGCACTCTTACAGACATCCCTATTTACACCCCTTTCCCCATCTCCGCCAACCCGCCCCCTCTCCTTCTGGCCATCACCACACTGGTGTCTGTGCCAACGGGGTATGCATATCTGTTGTGGTTTTTGTTGTTGTTTGGGGTGTTTTTTTTTTATTGTCTAAAGTTTTACATATGTCTCCTTTTTCCCCCGATTGATCCCTCCCCACATCTGTTGTTTTTTAATAAAATGTTTCATCACTAAAATCCTGATAAACTGTGAAACATAGCTTCTACACCATCCCTCATTTTACTCTTCCTCCTTTTCTATTAAGTTTGTAAAGAAGTGTTAATTAAATATAGATAATAAAACAAAAATATATGAAGCTTTAAAAGTTGGGGTTTTATAAATACTGTTATGACTGTCATGAGTTTTACACATGAAAGTCTATCAAAATTACAGAGAAATTTGTGGCACTTCCTTAAATTGGATTGGATTGTATTGTGCTATTCAAACAGGAAGCACACACATGCTCACTTTGCTGTTCGTGTCTTAGCTAAATCATACGCTGAAAGCTGCACTCTACCAATGCATCCACATGCCAGTCAGCGGAAGAGATCACTGTCAAATGACCATCTGTGCTTTCTCCTTTTGTAATCTGTGGCGTGGGTGCCATTCACAGTCTGCCACGCGTCAACTAATAGATATCACAGTAAAGACAATAACAGGAGTACATTTTTTACTTTTAATGCTTACTATCTTTGAAATATAAAAAAGCCTTTTAATTTTCCAACTGACAGATTACTCATTGACACCGAACTTCTTATAAAATATGAATATTAAAAATCCATTTGTACGAGAAGTATCAGTGCTATTCAAAAAGTTATGTTATGTATCCCACCATTGCCAGATGGACTAAACACTGTTGGCATTTTTCTTCACTTGTTTAGATCATGGGGATTCCTACCCATTCGATGGGCCCCGCGGGACGCTAGCCCATGCATTTGCACCTGGAGAAGGCCTGGGAGGAGATACACATTTCGACAATGCTGAGAAGTGGACTATGGGAATGAATGGTATATATGCACAATTCACCATAACCTGGAAAAATATTGTACCTTCTTCTGGGCCTCCATCATGAAACCCTGAGGTTCAACGCCCCAGGCCACCCTTTAACTAGGGGGGCTGGCTAGGAAAAACAAGTAAGCCAAAAATCCAAAAGGAAAGACCCTCCCTCAGTTGTGCTGTAGACTTGTCTGGTCTCTGATTCATAGCATATAATCTCAAGAAGCAGCAATTCCCCCTCCGCACACAGCTCTGTTTCCTCACCTCCATAGTATGTATTGTCTTTTACTTGTACTTGGAAATAGGCTGCATTCAGAAATGGCCTGAGGGAGTCAGGACTCTCCTGAGAAGCGATGGGGATGGGGATGAAACTCCAGAACATCATGCATGCCATCTGGAATTCTTCAGTGTGAAACTGTGAGGATAAGAAAGAGAAGGCTGTGCCGAAACCGGTTTGGCTCAGTGGATAGAGCATCAGCCTGCGGACTGAAGGGTCCCAGGTTCGATTCCGGTCAAGGGCATGTACCTGGGTTGCGGGCACATCCCCGGTGGGGGTGTGCAGGAGGCAGCTGATCGATGGTTGTCTTTCATCGATGTTTCTGACTCTCTATCTCTCTCCTTTCCTCTCTGTAAAAAATCAATAAAAAATATTTTAATAAAAAAAAACAAAAAAAACAAAAAACAAAAATGAGAAGGCTGTAATAGCAGGGAACCAGTAAAGCGTCTGTGACCTATGTCTACATATTATTGCCGCTATTATCATTTTACCACTATTGGCTCTGATTAGACCCTTGTTTATCAACCTGCCAGAGCATCACTGACCATGAACAAAAGGGGTTGATTTACATTTCCCTCTTCCCCCACCCTGCAACCCCTCCTAGCCAAGGGGGAAAGAACTAGAGGAAAGTAAGCAAAACTAAATGCCAGAATAACCTACTAACATGGGAATGATCCAGTTATGGAAAGAAAATAAGTTAACTGTAATGTGAGTGTAATTTATCCTGTAACGACAGAAGATATTGAAAATAAAACCCTGTGTTGATGCTGCCTTTTTCTCTCTCGTGTTGTCTAGGTTTCAATTTATTCACCGTTGCTGCTCACGAATTTGGCCACGCCCTGGGCCTGGCCCATTCCACAGACCCCTCGGCGCTGATGTACCCAACTTATAAGTACCAGCATCCCTATGGATTCCACCTCCCCAAGGATGACGTGAAAGGGATCCAGGCATTGTACGGTACAATCGCTATACTTCTTTGACAACTAACTCAGAAAGTCACAAGCATTTGGTCTCCAACTTAGAGAAAATATACTTTGCCAGGAGTTACCTGCAGAGATTAAGATCAAGCTAGAGACCACAGCCCCAACTCTGCCCTCTCCGTGAAGAGCTTATTTACCAAATGGATATTGCTTTCCTCTAAGATGTGCAATTACATTTCATATCTTTCCTCCAGGGCATAAGTGACCTTATTTTTCTAAAAACAATTATGATAATGATAACTACATTGCTCAGTTGCACAGGCAGTTTGCACAAACCTATCATGTTTACAAAAACCTGTCATGAGTCATCCTACACCATCCTCATGACCAGCCTGTGGGATGTGAAGTGTTTCTCTCCTTTGATAGCTGAGAAAGCTGAGGCTCAAAGATAGTAAGTATCCCAAGATATTCAAAATTATCTCATGTTAACATTCTTTCAACATAATAAAGGATTCCTAGAAACTCTCTACCCAACTTCTTTAACAAAAGACAAATCCATTAATTCACGAGAAGGAATCTTGATGTACTGTTAGACCTTGACACTTTTTCTTTGATGCATAAAAGGCAGAAAATTCTAGAAACTGATTTCCCCTTAGGCCTTGGAGCCGGATTTTCAGACTTGACTTGTCCCCAGAGGCAATGACTCAGGCAGCTCATGCTTCTGTTGCTGGCAGATAGTCCCTCAGGAACAGCGTGGGAGATAAAAACCACCAGCAGTCCTCCCAAGGGGTGGGTCCAGCAGAAGACGCCTATTCCCACCATTTATTCTCTTGTGTATATGGCAGGGGGTGTGGGAAAGTGTATTAGTGAGAATAATAAACCCTGGCTATGGAAATAAACACCTCCAGGAACTCAGGGGCCTAGTGCAATGCACAATAAGATATATTCCTTGCTCATACAAAGGCCAGTTCATATAGTATGACTGTTGAATAGCTCTTCTCCATGTAGTGACACAAATGTACAGGCCTCTTCTAGATTCTATATCTTTTATTGCATAGTGCTTCACTTCTATCCATAATGGATCAAAAGTTTGGGGAAATTATTCTCTGCATAGATGTTTCTTGGCCTGCGAGTTACTCATATCAGAGATGATGCCTTTAAATAGCAAACACCTTCAGTGTACCTCCATGCACAAGAATTCTTAGTCTTTCCTGAGGTGCCTAAAAAAATACTTATGCATAGTGTAGGATGCCCAGAAGTGGCTGAAAATAATATGAAAACACATAAGAAATTTATCATCTTATTGAGAATGAAGTACTTAATTACAAAGAAACAATCATTGGCAACTTTTAAAATTTCTAACTTAGAGCACCTATAGTTATCAAAGAAGTTGTGTCTAATAATAAAACAATAGCTACCATTCTTTGAACCAAGCTCTGTACTAAGTACTGTCAGGCATTCTAGAATTCTCACAGAAACCTGAGGTAGGTATTATTGCACCGCCCATTTTACTAGTAAGAAAATTTAGGCTTCGAGAGGTTTGATTATTTGCACATTTTTCACACACTCAGTAACTAGTGAAGCTGGATGCGAACCAGGGCTGGATGCAAGCCATCAACAGACATGCTCTTTATCACCTTGTCAAACGCAGTGAGGTCTCTGGAGCAGAAGTGTACAAACTCGATTCCTAGTGCCATTTGACCAAGTCGCTTTGAATCCTAGGACCTCGGAAACCATTCCCAGGGAAGCCCACTGTGCCAAATGTGCCTCCTCATAACCCGTCCAACCCTGACCTCTGTGACTCCAGCTCATCCTTTGATGCGGTGACAATGCTGGGGAAGGAGCTTCTACTCTTCAGGGACCGGTAAGCCTAAAATGTGCTTAAGACAATGAGGTTGTCCTAGAAGTGTGAAGAAAATAATTTATAGCCTGGCCAGAGTGGCTTAATGGTTGACCTATGAACCAGGAGATCACAGTTTGATTCCCAGTCAGGGCCCATGCCCGGGTTGTGGGCTCCACCCCTGTGTGGGGCGTGTAGGAGGCAGCCAATCAATAATTCTCTCGCATTATTGATGCTTCTATCTCTCTCTTCCTCTCCCTTCCTCTCTGAAGTCAATAAAAATATATTTTAAAAAATAATTTATAAACTATTTCACTCAACAACACCTTATTTTTCCATGTCAATGAATTTTCATTTTTATCTTATTTATACAGGATGGGTGGGGGAAGTAGGTATACAGTTATGAGTATGCAAAACAGTTTATTCTTGTATTATTATTTATTAATTATTGTATTCTTTTCCATGCAGACAACTGCAAATCTACTTTGGCCCTTCTCTGTATATTATCCCAATGAATAGATATATTATTAGTTATTTAAGCAGTCCCATATTTATGAACATCTAGATTATTTCTAATTTTTTATTTCTAGTTTTTTAAAATTAAGACCAGTTTAAACTAAATCTTTAACAATTGGAAGGGCATCAACTTTTCAAAGGCAAAATAAAGCAGAGCCCAGGAACCCAGGCTTTCTCATCAGGCTAAGTTGGTTTGAATGAGGGGTCCTCAAACTTTTTAAACAGGGGCCAGTTCACTATCCCTCAGACCATTGGAGGGCCGGACTATAGTTTAAAAAAACTATGAACAAATTCCTATGCACACTGCACATATCTTATTTTGAAGTAAAAAAACAAAACGGAAACAAATACAATATTTGTATTTGCATGTGGCCCGCGGGCCGTAGTTTGAGGACCCCTGGTTTAAATTCTGACCCTGGGCAAGTGACGTGCCAAACACATAGTGATCACAATAAATATTTAGGAGTGGGAATCAAAAGTTATGAACAATGGATTGAGGCTTAAAAACTTGAGGTATTTATTATTATTTATTTCATTGATTTTTTTATTAAGGCATTGATTATTGACTTTTTATTTACTATTATCAAAAGTAAAACTAAACAGAATTGGTGGGCATTGATTCAGGAGTGATTGGCAAGAGACAGAGCAGGAGGAACCTGGAACACCATGCTCAGTAACACTGGTTTTGAAGGGACAACATTGTCAGATTTTACATTACCCGGAGAGGTGCATGTAGCACTCATTCCCTGACAAAGAAATGAGATGCTAGCCACCCAGTAGTATGTAGCTTATTCTTTGGCAAATATCAGTGACTGTGGTAGGGACAAAGGATACAGTGAAGTTAAAGATATTATGCCTTTCCATGCAATTATAATCGTTTTCTTTAAAAAGCTTTTTTTTTTTTAAGCGCTCTATCGAACTACGAGCATTTAGCGATTCCTAATGACTATTTGAAGAAGCTACACCTTTTGACAAAGTCTTGGGTATAAATACTGAGGGTGGTAACAGAATAAAAAGGGAGGCATAGATACAAGAGACATGTAGAAATGAGTCAGGGACGGATTGTGAGTGGTGTCCTAGCGCTGGGCTTGCCATTATCTCACCATGGGACCTTGAACCTCTCTTCCTTCATTTTAAAATGAGGTGTTACCTGAAATTAATAGTGACTTGAGTGTGTTCAGTACTTACTATCTAAACACTTTGCTATCAAATCCTTACAACAGCCCTGGTGATGTATGAATTATTATTCTCTTCTTATAAGATACAGAAAGGATAAGCAACTTCTTTGAGTACACGTTGCTAGTGAGGGGTGGAACTGGGACCTGCACCTACACTGTCCTAGGGCAGAGCTTGTGCTCCTAACTGCCTTGCTGTACAGCCTCCTACTGTGTCCTGCAGAGAAAGAATCCCATGACTCTATAGCGCTGATCCCTTGCCGGCTGTCGCCAAAAGTCCCAAACCGTTTGCTAAGCCTAGGCAGAGAACAAAGAATTCTTTCAAGTCACAGCTACAATGGCAACCTGGGGGCCGTTATGAAAGGGCTCCCGTCTGTTCTCTCCCAACCGCAAGCCTGGAATTTCCCATCACCAACATTGTCTGCTGATGAGACATTTCAGATGCTAGATGTAATAACCACATTATTTGTTTCCAAAGCAAGATGGAATGCAGTACCTTGTAAAGTCACTGTGAGGATGTTTCACAGTCTCCATAGTTTATAAAGGTACGCTGCTACATTCAAATGTTCTGTTTGGAGAGAAATAAACTTCAGGTGTAATAAGTCATATATGTTTAATATACATATTTTATTCTTTATAATAGATGAAGATATATTGAGACTATCCCAGATTTCCTCAAGCACTTAGGGAAGAGAAGAGGTAAATGAATTACAGTCACACCAAAATGATATTTGCATCTCTCAGATATATTCTGAGTTTTACACAATGTCATGTTAAGGATACAATCGAGAATATCACCATCAGCACTATCTGGTTTGGCTCAATGGATAGAGCATCAGCTTGCGGACTGAAGGGTCCTGGGTTTGATTCTGGTCAAGGGCACATGCCCAGGTTGTGGGCTCAATCCCCAGTAGGGGGTGTGCAGGAGGCAGCCAATCAATGATTCTCTCTCATCATTGATGTTTCAATCTCTCTCCTTTCCTCTCTCTGAAATCAATAAAAAAAAATATTTTTTTTAAAAAAAAAAAAGAATATCACCATCAGCTACAGGCTTAGATCCCTGACTCATTGTTACTTCTGAAGTTGTGGCTTGTAAATATGGTTCCCCACTGTCTTCTCAGATGGTTATAGACAGGTAATTTAAGGGCACCATGCACAGCTTTGACTATTTTTAACCCGCAGCACTGTCTCAACATGGGTTTTTAATTTTATAAGCTGTATTTTGCTTGGGCTCATGAGATGCTGCATGGTGGACTGCCGGGGTTCTTGTCCCAGCATCTAGAAGGGCTCAGGAAATCTGGAGAAGGTTGTGCGTAGATTAAATAGGAGTCCAGAGACGCAGCATAATTTTGAAAGGCATATGGGGGTCAGAGGAGCTTAGCTTAAAGGAAACTAAGATCTAAGTTCTAAGTTCTCCTGATCTCAGGACCCCATGCTTTTTATTAACACAATTTGTCCTGAGGCAAGGCAGGGATATACACTTCAAAGGGTCAGGATTTCGTATACAGAATCCGTTGTCAGATGGGGGAATTAGCCTACGGCTGTTCAGGTGTTTGGCCAGTAGGAGGCAATAACATGTAGATTAAGATGCCCTGGGCTGTCTGGCAGCCAAGCAATCAATTTTTATATCCTATTCAGGTTTGGGGAAATGCCTTCAGCCATTCCCAACAGGTGACTACATGTGTGACTCAACCCTGTTGAGTCCCCAAGTTCAATCAACCTTTTGATGAAACTCTTGAAATTATGACATGCTAGAACTGGCTTCCGGCAGTGGACTTCTTGGCCTCTACAGTATTCTGATAGAAGCAAACCTGGTTAGTGAACACTCAGAAGGAATGGCTGCTCAGCCAGAGGTGGCAGTTTGTACTTCAAAGTTTCATATATAAAAAGAAATTTGAGATACTCTGGTTTCTCTTCAGATCGCACAAATCTTTCGCCTTTTACTAAAAAGAAATTTGACTCTATTGATAAGCTCTAAGTTTATGTAGTATATGTCATCATTTAATAAATAAATAGAGCGAAAACCTGTCTTTCTAAATAAAGAGTAGTCCAGAGTTTATAAAGCGCTTCCATATGCCTTATCTCAATTGATCCTTTGAAGTATTAGCACAGATATTATCATCGCTCTCACTCTTATTTAACAGAAGGTACTTGAGTCTCAGACGAATTAAGTGACGGATGATGAAACAAGGTTTCAAGCATTCCTTGCTTCTGTCACTGCACCACATCGCCCAAGCTCAGGGCAGAGGAGCAGCAGTTCAACTGTGAGCATCAAAAAGAAAGAAAGAAGAAAGACACCTCTTCCCCCTGAAACTGGGGAACAGAATAACAGAGAACAGCGTCAAGGAGAGTAAAAGGTTGAAGAGGATGGAAAATCAAGGTGTCCATTCAGCTCGTGCTGAATTACCTTGACAGTCCAGCAAATCGGAGATGAAGGCATCTCCTAAAAATGAAAGGCTGATGGGATCAGGTTAGGGAGGTGGAATGAAGATGGTTGGGTATCACAAAAGGAACAAAGGTTTGACAAACATGGATCATGTGCCAGGCACTCTGCTAAATCAAGATTTAAAACAGTGGTTCTCAACCTTCCTAATGCCGAGGCCCTGTAATATAGTTCCTCATGTTGTGGTGACCCCCAACCATAAAATTATTTTCGTTGCTACTTCATAACTGTACTTTTGCTGCTGTTATGAATCGTAATGTAAATATCTGATATGCAGGATGTATTTTCATTGTTACAAATTGAACATAATTAAAGCATAGTGATTAATCACACAAAAAAATATGTAATTATATATGGTCTTAGGCGACCCCTGTGAAAGGGTCATTCGACCCCCAAAGGGGTCGCGACCCACAGGTTGAGAACCGCTGGTTTAAAAGATGGCTAATACATGACCCTGCCCCCAAGGAGCTCACAGGACTGGCTTAGAGCTGCAAAGGACCAGGTGAAGGTTACAAGTGGCCTAATCTCAAACATCATGAAGTAGTTGCTGTTCTTTCATACAAGGGAATGAAACTTTCAGAGACTATGAAAATTAATGATCAAATAAGTTCTGCTCAACATTCTGGCACCAATATATTTCACCCACAGATATTTATGGAGCCCTCATTATGTGCCAGGTACAGTGTTGCTCCTGGGCCCACAAAGATAAACAGTGAAGCTAAATATCTAATCTGCAGGTCCACAAAATCAATAAATTCCATTGTTTCGTCTTCTTTATCAAAGATCAGATTACAGACTATTGATATGATTTATTTATCTGTTTTCATTACCAGTTTCAATACATCCTGCAGCTATTCTTTTCCAACTAGCTCATGGATTTGGAGGTGTGGAGCTTATATTTTTTAAATCCATTTACAGATGTATTAGGAGGTTATTTACTTTACTATTTTTTGTCAATTTTAATTTATTTATTATTGTAATCTATAGCTCTAAGGTTGTAAATCCTCTGAGTATGTGCTCTGTTGTTTTATTACCCACCAGACATAATATTTTTTCATTAGTGTACTGAAAATTTTCATGACTATGGATTCCTTTGGAACTTGTGATACTTTAAGTGATGACTAGAGTTTATTTCTATCTTATGCATACAGTGTATACATTATACTATGTCGTAATAGTGTTTAAATCAGGGTTTCTCAACTTTGGTATTACTGATATTTTGTTGTGTTGGGCTATCCTGTGCATTGTGGGATGTTTAGCAGCATCCCTGGCCTCCATTAGACTCCAATAGCACTGCCCAGCCCCAGTTGTAACACCAAAATTGTCTGGATACCCAAACCTGTGCTCATTTTGTGCTGGTGGAGAAAAAAGACAAGAGAAAGCAGTCCCTCTTGCCTTCAGAAAAAGCTAGGCCTGATTGCTCAAATTATAAACAAAGAAAAACCAAGGATCACAGCCTGAGAATGAGCATTAGCTGAGATAAGGTATGTGATGAAAATCAGGACAGCTGGAGCCTAATTCGGGTCCGTCTCCCCGTAACCACCAGATGAACTTTGGGCCCTTCAGCCATTCTGGGTCTCAGTTTTTCATCTGGTTATGTGTTCTAGATAAGTGTAGGGCCTGAGGCGATGCAGGATACCCTAAAAATGGACTCCTGCCCCCTGCGTATGGTCTATGGTGGGTGCCCAGTAAGTGGATAGGTAAGGCTTAAGTAAATCATAATTTCTATAATTATAAAATACTAGAGGCCCGATGCACGAAATTCATGCAAGTGGCTTGGCCCTCTCAGCCACGGTGGCTGCCTCAGCTTTGTCCAGAAGTCGTCCGGAAGGTTATTCAGCCATCCGGTCTAATTAGCATATTATGCTTTTATTATTATAAGATAATATGTTTATAATGCACTTCCATATGCATTATCTCCTTTGATTCTCAGTGATCTCATGGGTTAGCCCAGGCATTATTTGCATTTAATCGCATCATTTGCATGATGAAACCGAAGAGACACTAGTCAGAGCTCTAGCCTACACCTTCTGAAACACAATGTGCTTTTCTTTCTGCCATTTAGGAAACACAAAGAATTGTTTTTCCCTTCTTAGTATAGTTCTCTTTTAGATTTCATCACCAGTGCAAATTGCCTCATCTGAGATGCCTTCACCAAACCCCTAAGTATCCCTTCTGTATGTTCCCAGAGCATCCGGAACTTAACTCTTTGTAGAACTGATCACCCTGAATTAGAATGTTCTAATTGCTTATCTGTCTCAACTACTAGATTGCAAGCTTCTTGAGGGCTGAGCCTGGGTCTTGTTCAATGTTTCATCTTTGATGTTCCATAAATATTGGTTGAATTAATTGAATAGGCAAACCCAACATAAAATTTGAGGAGTTCTTTAAGTCACTACATGGAAAGTTAAATGTCAAAACTTTATTACAGTTTTCCCATCCACAGATAATTTTTCATATTGACTCTAGCTTCTATGGAGTCAACTATTCATATTTTATAAAAATAATTTTTATCTGAAAGATCAAAATGGACTACATATACATTGAAAGTTTCAATTCACAAGCCTCATGTTTCCTGCCATATTTTATGGAAATAATATTGGGTAAGTGGATTCATGAGTTGATAAACCCTCAGTTAATTTGTGTGTTGCCCAATTTTCTGTTAATTAGCCACCCAGTTCAAAAGCACAAATACTTTTAATAGATAAATATATAAGCAGCATGATAATTTAACATTTTTGTGTTTTTACTGGGAATAATGAGCACCTTCCAACCACAAAGTTTGGGCTCATTTATATGTTCATAATGCTCACCTGGATCACATTTAATCTTTGTGAGATTTTAATTTTTAAAAGATCAGAATAGGAAAAGGAAATTTGTATCAAATGATATTGCAAATAGGAAGGTGCATAGCTTAAGTGTGCGAATAATTGATGCGGTTTCCTTGCTATATCCTTCAGTATTTTACCCATCCTTAAATCAATGAAGGAAAGGAGATTGTAGAGATGCTAACAGAATGGAAAGGGAGAAGAAACTCTTTACCAAGGTCAAAAAAATATATATTCACCTTAAAAATAAGACAAGGGCAAGAGACATGTAGCGACGGCCTCTGAAGTGTGGCTTGCAGTACATTTCCGCTCAATTTTGGATCTAAATCAACCTTGACCTTTATTTCTTTGGGGTTGCCCAATAGGATTTTCTGGCGGCGGCAGGTTCACTTGATGGCAGGGATCCGGCCCAGCACCATTACCAGCTCCTTCCCACAGCTCATGTCCAACGTGGATGCAGCTTACGAAGTGGCTGAGAGGGGCACCGCTTACTTCTTTAAAGGTACCCTACGGTTCCTCGAAGAGAGAATGGCAGGCTGCAGTGCCCAGTGTGTTTGGAACATGTAGCACTGCCCGCGTTTGTCCAGTGATCATGGAGCATGTTTTGGTCACTTCTCCTCAGGTGGGGTATGAAATGCCACCCATCGTATTGTAGCAATGACAGAATTGACAATGACTATCGAACTGTTCTCAGAGCCAACCCTTTACCCTAGTGAGGCTTTGTGCTAAGGGACAGTGCCTAGGGAGCTAGAAACTTGGTTTCTGCCCCCTAGGACCTCTTCTCAGAGTGGCCTGGCATACCCTCCTGAGAGCCTCTAATTAACAAAAGCCATCATGGAACCCAATGTGAGGAGAGCAATACCTTTGCTGCTATAGCTTTGCCAGGGCATTTTATTTACCTTTGTCTTATTTGTGGTTGGGAGATGCCTCCAGGACAAATTTTAAGTCTTTCACTGAATTGAATAGTTAGAGGCTTCTCTCTCCTATTGGGTTATAGCCATGGCAAATATCCCAGAAATGTCCCATTTATGACCAGCATAGAAATCCTCGTGAGTGAAGTGCACAGTAAGTGGTACAGGGTTTTTGTAAACTTTAACTTCTGTTGTTAGGCCCCCACTACTGGATAACAAGAGGATTCCACATACAAGGTCCTCCTCGGACTATTTACGACTTTGGGTTTCCAAGGTACGTCCAGCGAATAGATGCCGCCGTCTATCTCAAGGATGCTCAGAAGACTCTCTTCTTTGTGGGCGATGAGTACTACAGGTATGCATTTCCTCCTTTCTATTGCCCAGATGTATTCAATGGAAAGGAAAAAACATTTGCAGACATAAATGCAAGGCGAGTTTGCAACAGGCACATTGACTCTTGGCCATTTACTGAGGGTTGACACTGTCTTCAAAATATGGAGCCATCCAAATGATAAGTGAAACGTTAATTCAGTAATATCATTCTTTGGGCACTAGGACACCAAACATCCTGATCTTTTAATGCACTCATTAACTGGACCCCCAGTGACCTAAAAGAGTGGATGCGGCACCCCCAAATACATAACTACCCACTGGGAATGCCTGGGAGGAGAACTGGCTCCCCGTTATGTGAGTACCAGTGCATTTCAGAATACTCTGATTTTGGGCAATAGGACATGGTTATGACTATGGGCTCTTTCCTATGACTATAGGAAAGTTCTGCTGAAAGGAAAAGGTCTTATTCCTGAGTCCTTTTATTCAACCTAGAACATGAAGATTCTTTTTATCCAAAATTAATTATTAATCATTTCCATTGCCTGTTTTGCTGGGGGTTATTAATAAGCAGATCTGAATAAGGTGTCATATGTCAGCCAATCACACAGGGTCACATCTCATTTCACCTACTGAGTTTCTATCCTTAACTGATTCATGTTGAAGGATGAATACACTCTTTGCCAAGCTCTGCCTCTGCACACCTCCCCTATATTCCCAGTTCTCACTTTGGCATTGCTTTTTCCCCTTGACTGCAAAAGAGAGGAGCAAAAACATATCCTAAGCAAGTGACTGCACTTAGGGTTGGGTTGGAAGAAGGAGGGCACACTTTGGTCCAAGGGTTTTTATTTACCAACTAGGCTACTTCCCCACACATCCATTTACTTTTATTCCTTCCTTTCCTCTTTCTAGCAGAACCCAGTGATACAGCCAGTTTTTTTTCTTCTTCTTCTTTACATTGCTCCCATCACCTAAGGCTAATTTCTCCTGTAACTGTTCTCCTTTGCCTACCAATAGCAGAGTAGAAGCCACACTAAGGAGCTTCTGGGGGTATATCAATCAATGCCATCATTCTTTGAGGTGGTCAATGTTTTCTAAATTTTATGAAAAGCGATTTGCAAATCTGCAGATCTCAGCCCCTTTTCACCCCTAAATCACTCTTTCTGTACAGACAGACTAAAGGCATGATTAATGCAATGTAGGACACAGTCTTCCACATTCTCTCCTTCCTGAATGCCCAGGAATACTGGAAATGGATCTGTATACTTAAGGATTACATAGTCAGTCATCATAGAGAAATAAGTAACAAAAACAAGAAGAAGGAGTAGGGATCAAATCTTGTCTTTTAATCTTAAATTTTAAAAAATACATTACCAAACGACCACATTCAGCCTGCATATATTGGACATACTTATGTGTCAGGCTCTGTACTAGAAACTGACACCAAGAGAGGCACAGTTTGCTGTCGGAGAGTCTGGGCAGGAGTGAGAGAGTGTTAATTTCAACTCTAACAGCCATCAGTCCTTTGGCAACTTGGATCACCTTTCTGTCTCTCCTTCATCATCTTCAGAATGGAGATAGAAATAGTATCTACTTCATAGACTTGTGAGGATGAATGAACAAAAAATGTGAAATGCATATCATATAATAAGTTCTTAATTCACGTTAGGTGCTATTAATGCCCTCAGCAAGTCTCACGGTTGAGAGCAAATGTATGGATAAATAATGAACAACAATTCCAGTGCCCTAATAGAAGACTGTACGGGGACCAGGGGGGCAAAACGAAGAGGAAATAGCCAAGAGATAATTCTTAGCAGAAGCAATGACTGAGCTTCATCTTGATAGCGGAGTAGGAGTTTCCCAGTCAGGAAGCGGGATGCGTGGGGGTGGCTTCCAGGCAAAGAGAGCAGCTGAAGCAAAGGCACTGATGTGTGAACGAGCCTGTGTGTGTGGGAAAACCCTGAAGAAGTTCACTGAGATTAAAACATGGGCTGGAATGAGAGATGTGGCCCAAGGATAAGCCGGGTGTAGATCGTGGAGGACCTATGTTTTCATAGGAAGATCATAGGTCTTATTTTCTTGAGATGAGAGATATCATTAAATGTTTTAAATAAAGGAAGAATCCAACAAGATTTATGTTATAAAAAATACCATTCTGGCAGCAATGTGACTAAATTTGAGGGGGAGGGAGGGGCAAGATTGAAAGTCAGCTAAACCAGTTAGGCCAGAAAGTAGAGGAAAACGTGTTCAAAGTGTTCAAAGAAAAACTATTTTTCAAAAATGAAGGCAAAATAAAGACATTCCCACATATACAAAAACTGAAAGAATTTATTGCTAGTACACATGCCATGCAAGAAATACTAAAGGAAGTTTCTCAGGCTGGACATAAATGTCACCAGGCAGTAATTTAAATCCACTTTTTTTTAAAAAGAGAACCAGTAAATGTAAGTACGTAATTATAAAAGATAGCATCAATGTGTATTTCTTCTCTTAATGGATTTAAAATTCACTGTATAAAACAATATGTATATAATTATATTGCTAGGCCTTTATGACATAGAAATATATTTGTCAATAACAGCACAAAGGCATTGGGTAGAAGAAAAACTGTATTAAGCTAAGGAAATGACACCAGATAGTAACACTGGTGTCACACAAACAAGAGAACCAGAAAAGATAATAAGAGGTTACAATAACAAACACTGTAAATATATTTTCTCTTTTTTCTTCCAGCTTCTTTAGAAGACATTGAGTTATATAAAATAGTAATTATAACAATATATTTTGGGGTTTGTAACATATACAGATGTAATATGTTTAACAGTAATACCACAAAGAGAGGAGTAGGGAATAGAGTTATATAGAGTTATGCTTTAATATCTCACTGGAATTAAGTTAGTAGAAGATGATTATGCTAAATTTAGATGTATATGGTATGCACTAAAGAAATAACTTAAAAAGTGAAAAAATTATGAAAGGAATTAAAATGGTACATTAAAATTTTTTTCATTAATGCAAAATAAAAATCTAATAAAATAAAAATCTAAAAATAAAAATCTAATCTAAAAGTCAATAGAGGAACCAAAAAGACATGAGGCATGTAGAAAACAAAAAGTAAAATGGCAAATGTAAGTTCAATCATATTAATAATATTAAATTACATTAATAATATTAAGTGTGAATGGATCAAACAATCTAATCAAATGGCAGAGATTATCATACTAGATTAAAAATGCAAGATCAAACTATGTGCTATCTATAGGAGACACACTTTAGATTTAAAGATACAAATGGCTTGAAAGTAAAAGGATAGAATATATCATATATACATATATGTATGTGTGTATATATATGTATATATATATATATATATATATATATATATGCAATAAGAAAGCTGAAGAGTGACTATGTTAATATCAGGGGGGGAAAACTTTAAAATAAAAAATGTCTTAGGGATAGAGAAGGACATTTGATAGTGACCAAAGGGTCACTCTACCAAGAAGATATAAGAATTATGAGCCTGATAACAGAACCCCAAAGCTGATTAAAATAAAGGGAGAAAACAACAATTGAATAATAATAATTGAAGATTTTAATACCTCACATTCAATAATAGATAGAACAACTAAACATCAATATCAATAAGGAAAAGACTTGGACAGCACTATAAACCAACTAGACTAACATATATCTGTAGAACAACACTTCACTCAACAGCAGCAGAATACATATTCTTCTCAAGTGCATGTGGAACATTAATTATCCAGGATAGGTGATGTGTTAGGCCAGAGTACAAGTCTCAATAAGTTTAAAACAATTGAAATCACACAAAATATGTTCTCTAATGACGAAGAAATAAAGTTAGAAATCAATATCAGAAAGAAAACTGGGTATTTTACAAAAATGTGAAAATTAAATAACAATACTCTTAAAACAACCAATGGGTCAAAGAAGAAATCACAAGGGAAATCAGAAAATACTTACAAATGAGTGAACATGGAAACACAACATACAAAAATTTATAGATGCAGGGAAGGCAGTGCTCAAAGTGAAATTCATAGATATAAAATGCCTATATTAAAAAAGAAAAAGAATCTCAAATTAGTAACCTAACCTTCCGTGTTGAGACACCAAAAGAGAAAAGGGCAAATTAAACCTAAAGCAAGCAGAAAGAAGGAAGCAATAAAAATTGCAGTGGAAAAAGCTAAAATCGATAACAAAAAAGTAATTTGAGAAAATTAACAAAACAAAAATGTTGGCTGTTTAAGAAGACCAAGAAAATTGACAAACTTCTAAGTAAATTAACCTTTGAAACAGAGAAAACTCCACTTACTAAAATCAGAAACGAAAGGGGGACATTCCAACCAATCCTATAAAGGAATACTATAAACAATTGCATGCCAACGAATTAGATAACATGAAATGGACAAATTCCCAGAAAGGTACAAAATGATGAAATTGAATCAAGAAGAAATAGACATTCTGAATAGACCTACAACAAGTGAAGAGATTGAATTCATAATAAAAATTAAAAAAAAAAAAAAAACTACCCACAAAGAAAAGTCCAGGCCCAGATGGCTTCACTGGTGAATTCTGCCAAAACATTTAAAGAAAAACTAATACCAATTTTTCACAAACTCCTCCAAAATACAGAAGAGGATGGAACACCTCCCAACTCATTGCATAAAGCCAGCATTACCCTGATACCAAAGCCAGACAAAGACATCACAAGAAAATAAAACCTCAGACCAAAATCTATCATGAATATGGATGCAAAAATTCTCTAAAAATACTATCAAACCAAATCCAGCAACATATAGAAAGAATTACATATCATGTGCAAGTGGGATTTTCCCTATGGAAAATGCCAGATAGGTTTAACATCTGAAAGTTAATATACCATAGAATTTAAAAAGCATAAGTATCTCAATAGATGCAGAAAAAGCATTTGACAAAACCTCACACTGTTGTGTGATTTAAAAAACAACAACACTCAGCAAACTAGTAATAGGAAATGTTTTC